CAACATCACTCACTGGGAAGCAGGTACATCCAGCTGACGAGTCCCAAATAGGATGAAATGAGCATCCTGGATTCCACTGCTGGCCATTATCCTTCAGTAAAGCCTATTGTATGAAAAAACTGTCATACGACCTGAACATAACACCTAGCTGCAATATCCAATCACATTTAGTATCGTTTTAACATCATTACTTACACCTGTGTAAATCTAAGGAAGCGGCATTTCAAAGCCAGTAAATAACATTTACCACAAAAGTTATAAGTTTAACAATTTCAAATCCTGATGACATTTGTTTATATCAAAATATTTACGTGTGCAGTCTATAATCACCTGTGAAAGACAGGCTTGCAAACTTCCCCCAACACCATTTATGCATATCTTCAATGAAAATGGGTAATTATCTCGATATGGTATTGCAACGCAACCTTTAATTTAGTCATATACTATTGGATCCAAAAAGTTGACAGGTCTTTAGATCTTGTTTTAGTTGTATTGCCAAAAAAGCAGAGTCATTATTGAGTGCATAATCGACCTGCTTTTGGTAAATATCTTAAGTTCTTAGTTATTCTAGTACAAAGTGTATTTAGCTTGTCAATGGGGATATGTAAACGCTGTTTTCTTTTCAACAAGTTAAATATAAGCCTATATCAACGGTCATTAATTTTGCTTTGTTTGAAGTAATATTCACTAAATTAATCTAAAATGTATATAGATATTGAATGTCCACCGGAAAGTTGATAGGATTATTCAGCAAATTATTTGTTTTTGAGTCTTTTTCTTCACATACCGTTCGATTACTTCTGTATATTGGATTTATCATTTTTCTGGAAGCATGGTACATTTTTTTTCGCAAAAAAGCATACATTTGTCATTCGTAAACACCCAACAATTGATTTTGGATCAAAGTTGCCCTATGTCACTCAAACTTGAAGTAGTAAAAGTATATTTCTGCAGTTTTTGGTTAGTAATAACTGATAAGGGACGATACTTACAGAATACAACTTATGAGCAGCAATTTGTGTATGAGATAGTGCCTGAAACCTACTGCCTAACTCTACTGGACGATAATCCATAGTGACATATGGTGGATATGTAAAAACTTCAGGATGAGCGATGCGTATTAAGTAGTAATCCATAGATTATACGCATAATCTACCGATAATGCAAATTAATGGGTTATAAGCATTTTCTTCTTGTTTCATATGCTTCACTGATTCTCAGTCATAAATATTATTGATCAGATCAGATTTTTAGACGTCACTTTCTTTTCTTTCTTCGCTTAATTTATAACAACTGATACTGGTTTTCATTTCTGCAATCTTGTAGATATTGGTTGGGTCCTCAACTCAATTGTTAATATGTCAGTCGTGTTTCACGACAAAATATGCTTCCCTTTGTAATACAGTTTTATTCCTATTTTCTAAATACATTACAAGAATAGTAATCCTTGTATTTCTCCTGATCGTTTATTGTACTACTACTATTAAATTTTAGTGCAAGGAACCTTCAAAATCAAATTGAAAGCCTTCAGGGAAGTTGGTGATAGACCACAGTTCAAGCTCACCACACAGGGAAGAAACTGAAGGACGAAACTACCAGGGACATCTTCACGGCAGCCATCAAGACAAAATGGCAGATATCGAGCGACGTCCGTAACGAAAATTGTGTGGATGAGCATTATAACTCTTTGAAAGCTATGTGGAAAGAAACCTGCACAACCGTATTAGGAAGGAAGAAGAAAGAAGACAAGAAATGGATCTCGACGGACACATGGAAGCTGGTAGAGCAGAGAGAGGAGGATGGTGAAGCAGAAGATAAACCAGTGCAAGGATGCACAACGACAAAAGGAACTAAGTACAAAGTATAAAACACTGGACAAAGTGAAGAAGAGTGCACGGAAAAACAAAAGACACTTCTACGATACATTGGCAAGTGAAGCAGAACAGGCTGCAGGTAAGAGAGACCTGACGACATTGTATCAAATAACCAGGTTGCTATCAGGGAAGAGACCAACACAGATGAAACCAATAAAAGACGAAGAAGGAAATTTAATTACAAAAGAAGAGAAACAGAGGAAACGATGGGCCGACCACTTCAAGAAGCTCTTGAATCGACCACCACCACCTACAGCCACAGAATTACCCGTGAACACAAACCCTCCGACGAAAGTCGAAGTCCTGAGCGCCATAAAGCTACTGAAGTGCAGGAAAATAGCAGGACCAGAAGGAATCCCGCCAGAAGCACTGACAGCAGATGCAGAGACAACATCGGATATGCTCACACTACTATTGCAGGAGGTGTGAAAGAAAGGGAAGGTACCTGGCGATTGGATGAAGGGTTACCTTGTCAAACTCCCGAAGAAGGGAAACCTAAGTGTTTGAAAGAACTGGCGAGGAATCATGCTCCACCCCTGCCCACTTCAAGCAAAATATTAAGCCACATCATCCTAGAGAGACTAAGGCATACTCTGGATTCAAAGCTACCACCCGAAAAGGCTGACTGGCCTCAGGAAGAAGAAATCATGTGCGGACCAAATTGCAGCGCTACGCATCATCATAGAACAAAGTGTAGAATGGCAGTCATTTTTCTACCTCAACTTCATTGACTCTGAGAAGGCCTGTGACAGCGTCGACCGACAAGTAATTTGGCGGGCAGCTGCTTCAATACTACGTCATACCGCAAGTCTTTATCAGCCTCATTCAACAACTATATGAAGACGCCACATGCCACACAATGGGAAGCTCAGTGATGCTTTTGGAGTGCAGACAGGAGTAATACAAGACTGCCCACTATCACCCATGATATTCCAGATTGTGATCGACTGGACTGAAGCTTCTAAAGTAGTATATGCAGTTATGATCTCAATGTCGCAGCTGAATCACGTGGCATTTTAGGCATTAACAAGTTTGCAGTCAGCAAGTAGTATCGCACAACATACAACCTTCAGCTTCACTGACATCTAAACGAGCTACAATTCTGAGTCGAGGATGGAAAATATACAATTAGGTTTAACCTGATTTTGAAATAACACCATAGTTAATTTTAAAACCAAAGCTTTCAGAAAACAGTTAGTGATATCAAAGAGGGCACCATATCCATCGAGGTCGCAAATACGCCTTCCTGATAAGTGCCTTCAACTAACTGATTAATAATCTGTTCTTATTATTACTTGTCCATCGGATTCTTAGTAGAATATAGAGCTTCAGTAGAATGTCACCATTCCACTCTCTTCTCTCCATCATCTTCACCTCGCTCCACCAATTCCCACAAACTTTCATTTCTACCTCACAACACCTACTCCATGTCACCCTCACATCCGACGCCAAAATCCTCCCTTCCAATTTGGCTTCCACTCGACGCAATACTCTCGTCTGATGCGTGATGTCCACAACGGTCTCCTCACTGTACGTACAGTCCAATACAATCCAATGCAATTCATTTCATTCCACTCCATCTCCACTTTCTCCAATTGCATATTTCTTGGGTGATGGCTTCTTGGTTGGTTGGGTTCGCTGCCTGCCAGTCAGTCAGTCAGTCAGTCAGCCAACAAGAGTTCCCTGATGCTGCTTATTCTTATTATTCTCGCCATCTATCTCATCTTAAGTGTCAGTATCGAGTGAGAGTAGGTGGCAGTTGTTGATATGATGAATGTGTGTAGTTTGTTGGAAATACTTTTCATAACACACCAGCAAGTCTCTCAAGCATCACATAGAAGCACTGACTTACTTGACTTGACTGAATTAGTGTTGGAAATCGGGATGTTGTTGACGCTTTATACTGGGTGCAGAGGAGTGCAGTGCAGTGCAGTGCAGTGGAATGTGGTGGAGTGCAGTAGATCTCCACACTGATTATTCCAGATTAGTGCAGGAAGGCCAGTCATGTTGTCTTCCCTAACCTGGATGTCTTTGACATCGTCATGTGTGCTTGTGCCGCCACCTGTAGTTGTGACGATGCTGCTTGAGTAGGTAGGCAGATAGGTGAAAGAGACTACTCCCTTAAGATTTCTCCCGTTTGTGGCGATTCATGCTTGTTGTTATTATTCTTGTTAGGGGGCATCTTCATCACCTCGTTCCTCTCTACGTTCGCTCGAGGGAAGTTTCGTCTGCCCTCGCTGCCGTGCCCCTTCTGTCAACTTGTTAGTTTTCACCTGTGCATCTTCGACTTTGTGCGTGCGACAAGACATTAGACATGAATCATCACCGTTGACGAAATCCAAATCTTCTTCAGTGGTCTTTTCATCGGTCTTCACAAACAGTCTATGCCCATCTACTCACAGCTCCTTACAGTTTGTTGCATGATTCATTCCAATCCAGTCCAGTCGATCACAATCAGAAAGAAAGGCGGCAACCCTGTCTTGCTCCTGTTTCCTGTCTTCACTTCAAAGGCATCACTGAGCTTACCATTGTGAATCACTTGGCATATGACTTTGTCGTATAGTTGTTGAATGAGTTTGATAAATGTTTGCGGTACTGGGTAGTATTGGACAGCGAGAATGGCATCAAGAAGTTAGGCTTACGAACATTGACAGTTTAGGCGTAAAACTATTAGTGATTTCTCGGTAAACGTCAGCGGCAAACAGTTTATTACTTCTTAGGAATCAAAAACATTATAGTGTCTTCTTTCTACTTTGATTTCAATCGAAACACCAACTTATTTATTACGTAGCGAAAAAATATCACTTAAGTAGCAGCTGGAAACAGTCAATTTGTGGGGCCTTTTTGGAATTTCCCTAAGCTCAAAGTCTTAAGTGATGAGACATATATTTTAAAAACTCTGCTCAAAACATGTAAATGAGTCACTAAATGGAATCCAGTTAGTTGACAATGAAACTCAGGTTTTATATAATCATATCAGTAAACAACTATCAAATGTCTTTGAGCTTACCGACGGAAATTTTCCATAAGTCCTTAGAAAATGCTTTCTTCTAGCCTTAACTTGAAAATTATCTTATTTCCTACTTACCATCAGTTGATATTTACTGAAATAATATTGTGACAAAGTGATAGCTAGTAATAAAACTATTTTTTTAAAAACAAGTTATTGATACTAATACGTGGATAATAAGAAAAGATTTATAACATCTATGACTGCTTTAGTTTAATGAATTTATCTTCGTTACTGTTATACAAGCTTTAAACAAGATTATATTCTCTAAGGTTGGCTTGCAATATTGTATCTTTGACGGCAACAAAAACGACACGTATATTTTCTGTATCTAAAATGAATAGAAAAGAACACTCAGAAAGAATATTTTATGAAATGGCTATGAGAGATAATCTAATTTATTCATATTAAGGCTATGCCTCGCTTGTACTTACCTTCATAGTAAATCTGAATATTTTTCAGAAAAACTACCGGTAACAATATTTGATTTATGAGTGAATTTGATTGAAACCTATATTTAACGCTGATAAAATAACTTTGTGTATTTTGGTTTTCAAGAAGTAATCATAAAATCTTTTGACAAGTGGTCTTCATAGATACTTGGCGAACCCTACCCAACAGTCGTAAAATAAAAACGTTTACAACCAGAAGCATTTTAACTGTACATAATAGGTTGTTACTCAGATGACTTACTCAATAATCATTCTCAGTATATTAACGCCAGCATCCCAAACTTTAGACTATAGAACTTTTACAGTTATTGTAATAGCATTTGGCTTATGATCGTCGCAGACGAAAGACTATTACGAGAACAATTGTTTATACTTAGATCTGGAAAATGAGCAGTAAACCTTCAGGCAAGGTTCTAAGGCATACCCTTCAATATTTAGCCGTAGACTGCAAATAATATAATTTAAACTGTAAGCATTATAAAAAAGCGAATAACTAAGGTCTCCAAGCAGAAATCACTTCTTAAAAAGAAACTTTTGAAAGTTTTACACCCTCTTCTGTTTCTAAGGTGACCTGGAAACATGAAACTTATTTATATAACCACAAAGGAAATCTCTGTGAATTACCATGTATTTTCTTTGTTTCTATGCCTTCATATTATCTAATATCAGTTATTTATTCAAATTTAAACTCTGTAATGTAATTTCCAATATATGTTATACGTTTATAAAGTAACAAGATGAGATATTGTAAAATAAATTGTTAGAAGATTGTATTCATTGAATGCACTGTATGTCTAATTGTCAATCATAAAGTTTACTAATTCACTTGAATATGAACAGTTTATTGTTTAAGGTGCATATAAAAGGTTAAGAAAGATGAGGAGATAAGGAAAATAACCTTCTACTCGACCTTCAAAACTTTTAAGAAAGGTACAACAAAAATGTCCTAAAGTTGATTTTTTTTTTTTAAATTAAAAGAGTTTTACAAATGAAAGTAGCAGAATTTTATCCAAAAATATTAGCTTACATCAAAATACATTTCCAATAGATTATAGTCCAATAAATACTATGAAAAAGGGTATGGAGCTCGGATAATTCTTACACGAGAATCTTCCATCCAGTCATCGAATACGTTTGAAGACAAAAATTACATATTATGTATGTCTGAAAATTGGTTTTCACAATATATAATAATAAACAACGTGAATAGCTAGAAACCACTAAAGTTGATTTGTGGATTATGCTGGTCAGACCAACGTGATCTAAATATTGGGCTGCCGTCTCGTTCGTTTCGACTCAACTTCATCAACAGTGTACTCGTAAAGTTGTGCTCACAGAGCCATATTGTTCACATCAGCTGAACCTAACCAACTGGTCGGCATGATCAATTTGTAGATTACTTACTAATTGAAGGGTCATACTGATATTTCGACTGGCCAACTATATGGTCAGCAGTGTTTCTGCTGGAAACCATCCAACTGTGAGGAGAGTCAAGGTGGACCGAACAATCTGCAAGTAATTCAAAAGCTGACAATCAGCTTTGTCTGTTTTAATTAAGTCTCAAGCTGATGTAATCAGAAAACCATGAAACACCAATTTATTACTGAAGAATTTCTTAGTGTATCCCGTAATAAAATTTAATCCATTGATGCGAACGATTTACGAAGCTCAAATTGTTTGCCTATACTAATCTAAGATGCAAAGATGCATATTTGTCTATACAGCAGTTTATTGATTTTGACACCATTTTTTTAGATTATTTATGATAAAGTGCGGCCCATACCCAATATCGTTGTTGAGTAACTATCCTCATGTTCGACTTGGGTGACTCCATTGACCACAACTTGTCACTGGAACCTCGGAAAACAGCTATCAACAATAGTCACCAATGAGCGCTACTAGTAGTTCGTGAAGATATGAGAATGAATCAGAATGTACTGAATTTCTGTCAGCTTGTACTCAGTGATACTGAAAATGTCAACGAGTGGTCCATAAATGAAACTTCTGCTGACGACAGTAAGTGTTTGTCGGTATTTTTAATAATTGGTTACGGGAAAGCAACCAATTTTATGTTGTGTAGTCCTGAGTGCAGAGTGGATCCTGTAGACCATATTTGCAATGTGGTCACCAAGTTAGGAAGCTCAGCAACGCGATGCACATTAGTAGATGTTAGTTGGTTGGAGGCAATCGGCAGGGAGCCATGTACCCAGTCATACAGAAGGTCAGTCGCTGCCCGAATAGCTCAGTGGTAAAGTTACTAACTACAGCACTGGGTGATATGGGTTTGAATCTCAGGTGGGACATCGGTCCTGTAAAAGTTGCAGACATGTCTTCTTGACGAGTGCCAACAAGCACGAAACCTAGGTTGAGTAGGGCTTCCCGTCGATTGCCTCCAACTGACTAACATCTACTAATGTTTAACGGTATTATTTGTTACTAAACCCGCCAATCTCCAACTATTTCATTTCAAAATTAAATTCTGCCCATTAGATGAATGAAGATAAGTTTGCATTATATTGGGCTTTGACTGTTACACAATGTACTTATTTAGGAATCTAAAATTAACTTTATTTTGAGAAACAGTCTTTCCTTTTAGACAGAAAATTATTTGGATATGAAAGATTTAAACCAGAATTACCCAAATTCAGTATTGAAATAGGTTAGTGTTAGTCATTGGATTACCTGTAGCACAAGTAAAATGTGAATAAACTGCCCTTTCTGGATCTGGATTCAATTCTTGATACATTTTCAAAACAAAATTACGTGCAGCGATTGCATCGTTTTTAGGACCTTAAAATAAATGAAATATTCATAAAACGATACATAATATGCTTTCGTTTTTAAAATTATTGTTGTCTTCCTAATTTTACCATCCTAAGAAAGAGTTTTTGTTGAGTTTTCTTTAACGTACACAATTCTTTCTACAGCTTCAAACAAGCTATGTGCAAAAGTCTTCCCGCGTTTCAGCCCTTATCATTCACAGTCCTGATACCAGATAAAAGCTTATATTAAAAGCTGACAGGTGCATGAGATTAACTTTACTTATATTCTGTGCTGCATACGCTTGCTAACACAGTTATTTGTTGCAGAGATACCTGTTAGTCTGTCAAGTGAATTATACAATCTTTTCATCTTACTATTTTTTTTGCATTTGTTATCATATAACACGTTCGGAAAAATAGAAAAATTCATAAGATCTTACTGAGTTAAGAAATACCTGGTAAACAGGTTACAAATGCAAAACATAATCCATCTAACTTAACTGAAATGATGTATCCAGTAGGAAATGAAGACATCTGTTCGGCCTAACTTAACAACAACCAGTAAAGCTCTTGGTGACTGAAGTGAAATTAAGCATCTGATCAGCGGGTTTATGTCGTAGCTTTGTTAGTAAAGCACCGGGCCAGTCCGCCGGTTCCAATCCTACTGAGATTTAGTTTTTCACTTCATCAACAACCATCAAAAATATGATTCTGATTATTCAAGACTATCTCACCTAGTCAAACTGGTAAAATAAAATCATGCAATACTGTGTGATACCTGTGAATTTAGGGAAATAGTCAACCAAATTGGAGTATTGTATCTTCTCTTCTAAAATGTCCTTTTTATTCAAAAATAATATGATTGATGAAGTTTGAAAGCATGGATAGTTTATAATGGTACGAAAGAGTAAAAGACTTTCTTCCATTCTATTCTAAAATAAAAAAGAATGTAGAGGAGTATATAAACTACTTTTGTTAAGGTATACATTTTAACTTTATGTAAGAGACAGGTTGTATTACCATTTTTGAAAAGCTCAGTTCTTACATAACTGCCTGAATACCCGAACACATGACATTTCTTCTGGGAAGTAGAAATTTTTTCATTAGTTTGTAAATATCTTTTTGGAATATCGAATTAGCTGCATCATAGTTACCATTTCACAGATGGATCAGATTGACCCAACTACGTTAAATTATAGTTTCTGGTTTATAGACAAGTCATTTATCAAGGCAGTACAGTATTGCTTGTTGTCTATTTCGGTCTAAAATTTGTCTTTTCCACAATATTACGATAACTTTTATGAGTTCATTAGAATAAAGCCTTTTAATTCACATGAATTCAGTAGTGGCAACTTTAGTCTAGATTCCTTTTAGTGACCACTTCTATAAGGGTTTAATTATATGCAACCCAATGTAAAAGGTTTTGTCTTAGAGTTGAAAGCGCTTATTAAACCAAGTTTATAACAATTCACCGCTTACTGGAAATGCGTTATCCATCCCCGTGGAAATAAATTTTATCTTAAATTTACTACTTACTTTGATAAATTAAAAATATATATATATCGAGACCAATTTTAGCTGGAATACTGGAAATCTATATGATTGTACAGCGTGATGTAGTCTGGGGTTTGTAGGGGTTTACTTTAAAGGGGCATTCTGCTGAGGAGTATCATATTTGGACGAAGCAGCTGTTCAGTGCTTCCAGGTTTTCAATGGTTCCCTTCTAAGTGATGTCAGTCCATGACGAATACAGCCTCAAAAAGTGAATTCTCATAAACCCCAAACTAAATCACAGTATAGTCCTCATCAGTGGTATGCTTCATAATGGATATCCTGAAGTTTCAATGAAAAGTCATGATCAGTGTGGTCGACTAGTAGGAAGTGAATCGAATATTGTCTGAAGACCTTGGTGGATGGTTCCATTACATCCCGAATTGACAGAAGAAGGAAAATGTGGACCAATGAATTCTTACTTAGTGACTGAATTGTTAACGCGTTCACCATAAAAACCCGAAGGTTCTGAGTTAGATTCCTAGCAGTGTGACGTTGTAGGTGCAGACTCTTGAACAATCCTGTACTAGAACGAAACAGCTGTCCAGTGCTCCCAGATTTGCAATGTTCCTGCCAGTGATGTCAGTCCATGATGAATACTAACCTAAAAATCACCAAATCACTCCAAACTCCTCAAATTCAATTGATCTTATGCTCATTGGTGACTAGCTTCGAGAGCTGATTGCTGAAGTTCCAATGAGAAGTTATGACCGGTGGGGCAAACCTAGTGGCTGTGAGGACAAATACTCAAAGATGACACTGGGTGGCGGTCGTGCTATGTCGTGAACTGACAGAAGCTGTAAATATGGACCACTGGATTCTGACCCAGCATCTCAATGGTAACTTGCTGGGCATGGAACCTGAAAGTCACGGGGTCGACCCCCGAAGGGGTAGTGGGTGCTTGTTGCTGAGGAGTCTCATACCAGGACAAAACAGCTGTCCAATGTTCCCAGGTTTCCAGTATTCCTCCAAATGGTGTCAGCTCATGGTGGATACCAGCTTGTAAAAAAATGTTATTAAAATTCACTTTCAACTTGATGGAGTCCATCAATTATGAGCATTCAGTAGAAGTCATGAGTAGTGTGTATTTATACTTCATCAAAATTTTCTCCACTTTAAAGTATGTACAGCGCAAGTATATTTTAGAAATTTTCAACTTCAAAATTCCCTTTAATTAACTCAGGAGTATGATTTCAATCTGTATTTATACTTACCAAATAACAAACAATTAGAAATGATATTTCCAACTATAACCGCTTTTACATTTGAACAAATGATTCTTCCTTGAATAAAACATCTTTTTGTTTATTCATAAGAAAATAAGTAAATTTTGCTTCGAAATTATCACCAACTGGGAGTAACAGAGGAATATCATGGCAGGAGGCCAATTTATTTGCCTAATCAAGTTTCTATCAAATAATGTTTTCGAACTATCTGATTATCGGATTGTTTCACCGATGATCGACAGCATTAAAAGGTTGAACAAACTTGTTTATAAATTAGGATATTGAAAATTTTCATATGAGATCCAATAAATACTAAGTAACTTCTTCTAATGAGTCAAACAGCTGATGAAGTATATCATGAGTACGGAAGTTTCAGCTAGTATTTATTGAATTTTGCCGTGTTTATTGCAAACAAGAAAACTACCCTCTGATTATTATACCCCAGGTTCTGTAAGAAGATGATGTTGGGTCACTTGATGTTCTAAAGTAACTAAGTCTTCAAAGCATGTATTGTTCTAGCCACCTGCTTGAATATGTGGGCTACTAAATTCTCCATCTGTCATACTGCATCAAAGTTCTAACAGATTTTGTCGTTTTAATCATTCTATTATGTCCTCTGATAGTATTATATATTCACGCACATTTTTATAAAGTTTACGGCCTTCTGCAATGCCAGTATCAAATAAGATGAGAAAAAAGCATCACGGCGGATGGCAAGGTGCTTTGAAGTGAATTACCTTATCTCAAACGACAGCCTGAAATAATAAGCACTAACTACAGGGAAAAGTAGATTACTTATAATCCCTTATCCTCCGATGTGTACCGTAATACTGGAGTAACTTCATTACAAGAAACTTGGTTACATGGACTTTATCATGACAGTTTGATTTCGCTGAATGATTTCAAAATTTTCCGTAAGATCGATGTAGCTCTACTAAAAATGTGGAGGTGGAGAAGCTACTTTCATCACTACCCATTAGTGAATTTTGAGTTACATATGTTTCAAATTCTGTAATGACCACACAGATTGCATCACTGTAAAATTTCCCCCAAAACATTTGAACAAATATCGCTTTATTTATATAACAAATATTTATGTGACGCTTGGTTGCGGTTTCTTTAAACTATCCAAATTCTCTGATATATTCACGGAATTTGCAGCCCCTTACTCTATGGTTCCCTGTCGACAGTATGTGGCGATTTCAACTCTTGTGACCAAAGCTTTCTTAAAATTCTTGATCATCAAAACATTGTCAACTTCACAACAAATCAGGATTCAGCACTAGACTTGGTACTCGTCAATGATACTGATATATACGAAACTCTAAAGAGATCCTTACTGCTCAGCTCAGATCATTGCATTATACATGTTTTGCACAAAATGTATGGAAAACTACACAAAACAGCTTTCATATATAAGAAGATTGTACATAGAAACTATTCACTTAGTAACGTGCTTAATCTAAGAGAAATGCTTCAATGTACAGACTGGAATATATTTGACAGCTATGATTTGAACGATACTATTGATGATGTCACATGCTATCTCAAGTTCTGCCTAGAGAAAGATTGCCCCCAGTGAAAAGCTTTTTCTACGCTTCGATAGTGTATCCTCTCCCTAGCTTAAGAAACTAAGAAGAGAAAAAGATAAGCCATATAAGGTAAGTGATAATGCTGGTGCTCGTCAACTGGACGTTCTCATTAAGTTGGATATTAAAAGTCTGAATCTACTATACAACCAGAAACTTTTGTCATACAAAGGCTCTCCCAGTAAGTGGAGACTTTTTAAAGACCTCACTGGTAGTAAATATCTTAACAAAGAAGTCTATGTCGATGTCTGTGACCTGAAGAAATCATTTTTACGTCAACCCACTTGTTCGATCCCACTTTGTCTACCTACGTCCAATGAAGAACGTTGTCCAGAGTTTACCGTGAACGGTGTTTTCAGATGTCTCAAATCCCTAAACCCCTATCACACTTCAGGTCCGGATGGTATGTCAAGCTTCGTATTCACGAAATGTGCTGATATTTTATGCCATCCATTAGCTAACATGTTCAACAGATCGTCTTTTAAAAACACTATACCAGCTGCTGGAAAAATATTAAGATAGTTCCCGCACCTAAGTCTAGGACTCCAGGTGCATATACAAAATACCGTCAGATTACAGTTACCTCTGCGCTCTTCAAAATAATGAAGCTAATAATACCTGGGCTCGAGCCCCCACTGAAGGCTTTCGGAGAACCTAATCAATTTGCATATAAAAGCAGAAAAAGCACTTTGGATGCCGCCATTCTCTTATATCACGATAATACTTATAGTCTTCATGAAAATGTCAAGTATGTTAGGCGTGCCTTTTTAGACTATACTTCGGCATTTTACTCTGTCCCAAGACCTATTTTGCTGGACAAACTAACAAGTACAAATACTGAGTCCTGAATAACCAGCTGGCTGCATTCCTATTTCTCTGACAGGAAACAACATACTGTTCAGGGAAGCGCTCTACCTCATTGCTTACTGTGACTGTAGTTCCACAAGGAGCCATTCTTTCCCCAAGTCTTTTCTCATTCTTTCTGCATGACCTACCATCTTTAGCTGGTATCAATCTCATTAAATATGCGGATGACCTTAAGGTTCACATACCTATCTCCTGTTCAGCAGATTGCTCCTAAGTGAATGATTTCCTATCTACTGTTAGACGATGGTCCTCCAAGAGTGGTCTTATGCTAAAATAATCAAAATGTCAAGCCATAAAACTTAGTTTTAGACGTGAGCATAACCTATGCAAACTGCCTAGTTCTCGTGATAGTTCTGCACTACAGAATGTTACAAATGTGTTTTATCTCGGTGTGTTTTTCTTCTGTTCTTTTCTGGTCTTCTCATATCTCACTGATTTCCAAAAGAATTTTCCGTCTAACTTTTTATATTGGGAAGCTGAGAGTATCGGATATCACTCAGCTCCTCCTCTTATGTTTTATAAACTCCTGCATCTTGCCTGTCCTCCTCTGTTGCTCTCCTTTATTTTTTTCTCGGGGAGCTGAAAAAAGACTATACTATATTGTATAGTGCTTTAAAGATTTTCAGTAGAACTAGTAGTGTACTGCTTAACCTTCTAACTAAAATTGTTGTGAACAAACACATGAACTCTTGTAAACAT